AAACTTTGAATGTCTGCACTCCTCCAGGCCACCATTTTCACATCAAATCTCTTGTGTCTCCTGGCTACTCCCTTCCCAATGATGAGGTTGGTGTTCTGCACCTTTTCTGCTGCTGTCTGATGGCACTGTACCTGGGGAAGAGCTCCTTCAGCAGTTTCTCTAGCTGATGCTTGTTACTTGGGCATCTTTTCCTGTTCCTCACCTGTGCAGAGCATTTCCAGAGGAAAATACTGAAGCAGTCCTCTGAAGCAGTTTGGATATGCTTCTTCGCACCAAGAGAAAAAAATAGAGGAAAGAGAGAAGAAATAACTCCAGGAGACACAGTACAAGCTGTGCACAGATAGCTTCTCCTGGTTTCCCATTCTGAGCATGTGCATTGGCTGAGCTACTAGATTAAAACAAAAACAAACAAACCCAAACAAACTATGACATTTGGAGCTGAAGTTTGTATAATGCTGTTTAAATTCTGCAACTACCTCAAAGGAGGTGGTAGTGAGATGGGTGTTGGTATCTTCTTCCAAATAACGAATGATAGAATGAGAAGAAACAGCCTAAAGTTGCACCAGGGGAGGTTTAGATGGGATATTATGAAAAAGTTATTTGCTGAAAGAGTGGTCAAGCATTGGAACAGGCTGCCAGGGAAGTGGTGGAGTTGCCATCCCTGGAGGTGTTAAAAAAGCACGTAGACATGGCATGGTAGTGTTAGGTTGGTGGTTGGACTTGATGATCTTAGAGGTGTCTTCCAACCTTGATGATTCTGTGATTCTGTGGTTCTATTCTGTTGAGCACTCATTGCAACTCCTCTTGTTTTGAAACAGAAAGAGAATAAGGCAGGTGTAAGTGGTTATGTATTGTACAGCAGGGAATTGCGAGTTGAAAGTCACTTAGAATGGCCTGTCTGTGCTCTTCTAACAGAAGTAACTCGTCAGTTTTGTCCCTTTACTGCTGATTCTGGAAGCTCTTACTCCAGGTGAGGGAGTTGCTTGTCTTGTGCCACGTTTCCCGCATAGCGCGGGAGCAGCAGAGCTGCTGGGACCTGTAGCCCACTGGCCCAGCCCTACCTCCCCTGGGCCTGGTGACACATGAGGCTTTGACCAGGGACTTGGCACCCTATGAGGACTGAATTCCTGTGTTTGCATTTAGCGTTTGTGTTTACATTAGCAGAGAAGTGCAGGGGAGCATGACAATTCAGGCAGCCCTCACATAGGTGCAGTACAAGCTGTCCCAGCTGTCAGCAACGCCAGAGTAGTATTGGAGTGTCTTACAGGTGTGCTTGCTGTCTTGGACCAGTGCTGGCATCCCTTGCTCAGACAGATACTTTGCAAACACCTAAGACCACTAAAGTTATACATGTTCTTTCCATGCATCACCTCTTATACAGGTAACTGGAAGTGAACTGGTAATTTATTTTCCCTGCTGCTATTAAGAATACACTCCATATCTGATAGAAAACCATGTATTCCTACAGCCATGGTTGCTGAGGCAGACTGGGACCATTTCATGGCAGCTCTGGAAAATACGTTTTTATTCTTTCCAAATTACTTCATAAGTAGAGGCATCAAGTTTCTTTTGGCCCTGTAATCATGACAGGACTAAGGCAGAAAGCAGAAGTTCTGATTTTCTGATGCCCTTTTGCCCAGAAAGTATGTCCTTTCCCAGAGCATGCGGCTTCTTCATCACAAAGAGAGAGGGGTTCAAGGCAAGCTCTCTCCCTGGAAGCCAGGACAGATAATTTGTTATGGTGCTTCCTCCCTCTCAGCCGCTGTGGCCACATTTAAATGCATTGCCTAGTGCAGTAAATCCCACCCAGGAACTGCTCTTTAGCACAGCCCTGCACTTTTCTTTAGTCAAAACATGTTTACATGCTAATTTGCTGAGATCACAGCAACCGCACCACACCATCTGCACCCTGCCTAGACAAATTATAACGCTGTGCTGTGGCAAGTTGAACATCTGACATGCTTTAAAATAAAAGGATGGCCAGTCAGGCAGTGGTCAGTGCTGCAGGCTGCCTGGGAAAGGGGCTGGGTTTGCATGGCCGGTGCCTGGCTCTGTGTGCCAAGCTGGGGGATTAGGCAGGCAGTTCCCCTCCTGGGGCGACGAGGCACTCCTCTGATCTGCTGGCACCTGGCTGTGTTGGAGGTGAATGAGGGCACTTCTGAGGCTCCCCAGAAAGGCTTTTGACTGGTCCTTTGGATGACATTCCCCTGCTGCACTATAGGCTGTCTAGATAACCCTGTCACTTGCTACAGCAGAGGTCTGGAAGAGCCTTGCTCAGGTGGTTTTGGGACAGAGAGCATCCACAGATGTCTTGCTGTCTCACTTGACAGAAGTATTGATCTTTCTTTCTCCTGCCAGAGCTGCATGGTCTTCCTTTCCTCCATCCCACTACAGTAAGGACCAGAAGCCATTTTATACATCATGCAGTACTAACCAAAAGAAAATCCCTCTTGCAATGGAAGCATCATGGTGTTTCTCCAGCAATCAGCAACAATTCCATCTTGCTTGAAATTTCAGGGGCTCCAGGGTGAAGCTAAAGCAATTTTTCATTTCAATATGATATCCTCTACTGCCCAGAGGCTCCAAAACCCCAGATGCGAATTGAAAGCATCACTCCATCCATTTCAGAGATGGATCAGTAAGAAGTGTTTCATTCTTACCCTGTACTGTATCAAAATGATGGGCCGACCAAAAGATTTGGCTGCAAATTGCTTAGCACCTGTGCTCTTCAGAGACAACTAGGAGCAGGTTAACCCTTCTGGGGAGCTGGCTTTGAAAGAAAGTGATGTATTGTGCTGTTAAAAGGAAGTTATCTGAGACAAAGGACGAGACAACCTGTGTGGAAAGATGGAGAAGGAGAGATCCTACAGTGTCTAAATCAGGGTCCCTTGCTCTACTCCAACAACTCCTGATGCAGCATGTGCCCCCTGTGTGACTATCCATGAGCAGAGCCTACACTGTAGAGATGGGAGAGAGGATTTTTTAACTACGTGAAGGCTCATTTCCTGGACTAGGCAGTGGAAGCCTCATTGCTCTGTCTGTACTGTGCTGAAGACTGTGGTTAATCATGCTTCATTACAAACTGAAGCAAAGCAGCACCAAGGAGTTTGTAACCAGCTGGTCGGCAAAGAGGAGAGGCCAGAGAGGGAGGAAGTGTGTTTCATAAATGTGGGTAAGGAGCATACATTATGAGTGTGCTGGGAATTAAAACTAGCTTGTACCAGTGAAGAGTGTGCCTCAAATTTCAGACCAGTTCCTGTGGGCCCACTTAAAGCTTATTCCAGTTTTTGAGAAGTCACTGGTTCCAGCAATATCCCCAATGTTTAGGAGCAAGGAATGTTGCCAGACCCTCCAGAGCCATGCTTCCAGAAATACGATGGAATTACTAAGTGCATTTAGTGTTCCTGTTTATTGTTAGAGTCGTGATGTCTCAACTTGTCTGCTGAGTTGCTTTTTCACATGCAACATTCATAAATTCAAAAGTGGGGGAGAGGGGTAAATGGCCACTGTTCTGTTTTTTATACTGGACAGGGGTTGTTGGAGCCACTTGGCCTTGGTCACACCTGGCTGATATACTGTCCCGTACTAACATCTATGCAGAGCTCTTATTTGGCACCTTGCTGATGGATGGGCTGCCTGGGAAGGGAAGCGTGATACAGCACTCAGATATCCTCATTAGAGCAAGGCAGAAAACTTTTGACATTTTAAATGTCTTTTTCTAATATAAATGGAAACTTTTGACTTGGTTTTGAGCCAGGATGACAAAACAAAACAGCTTTTTTATTTACATTTCACATTTCTGGGGGAGGGGAGCATTCAGCTGAAAACTGGTGTGTTTCAGCTGTGGGGAAAATTGCTTTCCTACTGTCTCTCCTTTTTTATTGGAACATATAGACACATAGTAAAAATGTGAGCCAGCTTCTTTTTTTTGCTAATACTATAAAATAGGGAGCAAAGCCGGCTTCCCCTCATTTTCCTTTCCTTCTTTATTCTGCCCTGTCTTTGCCAATTGGAAACAGAAGGCAGAAAGTTACTTTGTCTCTGGAAAGAGCTCTTGCAGAGCTTAACTGTGTTTTCAATGCTTTCTAAATAGAAGAGGTTTCTGGAACTTACATGGTCTTCCCGAAGTTTTAAGGGGGAAGTCTGAGAAAATAAGTTCATGTTTTCTTCTGTTAAGCTGGTTGAGCAAAGTAAAGAACTGTGCAGATATTTTACAGGAGAAAAATCTACTGGCTATTTCTCCGCTGACTAGTCAATATAAGGGGAATTACACACAAATAGGAAGGAAAGTTAAAGCTGCCTGCTCTTGTCCTATGTTTTCTTTGTGAGCAAACCTTCCCTTCTCATGAACAGCCCATCCTTCTGGAAGTTCTTTGTTGTCTGCATAGCAAAGGCAGCTAGTAACAGAGGTGATGGAAGGTGTAAGTCCGTCTCAGGACACTGTTCAACCCCAAAGCAAAGAGTTTCTCAGTTCAGGAGAAGAGGTTCTTCATAAGTGACACTGAAAATGCAGATAATCTTTCTCTACATCAGTAGCAGAAAGACAAACAGAATGGCAAAGCAGGTCTGAAGCAAGAGAGCAAGGCAAGTACTTTGGCTGTGATGATGATCCTTGCTCAACATCAGATGAAGTTTCCAGTGCAGTGGCATATGTTGTTCTCTTTCTTTTACAGAATAAAGTTTGGGTATTAAATGAGGAATAGCAAAGAATCATTGATTAGAATTGTTGCTCTGGAAAAGATTAGGAGAGCTTTTGGTTTTTGGTTTGAAAAAAAGATTAAAAAGTCACAAGCCTTGAAGGAACTTTCCAATGTGGTTTTCATCTGGTTTGGCAGGTTTCTCCTGGAGAACAGAAAGCTGAAAGTAGATAGGAATTAGGAAAACATACTGTGACCCGGATAGAAAATCTTCAGTAAAAAGGGAAATGCAGAGCAAAACAGTATGTGGTGAAAGCCAAGAATCTTCTTTAACCATATCTGCCTCTCTCATTTATTTTGCAGGGTCAAATATTTCCAGGGGAAGAAGGTGAATGGAGAATTTGATATCCGAGTAGAACAGGTCAGTGACAACTCGATTTGGCTCTAATAAATGTTTGTGGACAGGGCTGAGGTTTTAATGACAGATAGTCCATGGGTGTTGTTCAAGAGAAGAAAGGAACTAATGAGGAATTTCAAGGCCCATCCATTTTTAGAATTATGGAAGCCATAAATGAAAACATCTTATTAGGCCACCCTTTCATCCCCCCCTACCTTTGCAGAATCGGTCACTATTTCACCTTAAAATGAAGTTTTCTGTTCTGGTGATGGGACTATAATTTCTCCTATTGGAAAACTACCAGTTTCAGTTGAAAATTCTTCATGTTGAGGGCTCTTCCCTCCTATCTATGTTGGTGTAGTGTCTGTCAAAATGAAGACCCAGAATTGACTGAGATGTTGGATGCTGTTGTCAAAGTAGAAACAACTATTAATAACCATCTGCAGATGCCTACCTTGAAATAGACATGGGAAGAGGAAGATATAGAGATTAGCTGGTGATTGTAAAGAAACCATATACTTGTTTTATATTCAGTAGTGCAATAAAATTGCTTGGATGAATGAAGAAAGCTGGTGACTGTTGTCTCAATGACCTGATATTTTCTGTATTTATAAAGCTGATGATTCTGCATCTTATGTGTATGAGTGCACATCTGTGTAGAATAAGTAGTGTGTGTAGAAGTATGCCAAATTGCCTAGGACATTAGCCCATATGTTCTCATCAAAAGCTGTGTCTGGGACAGAAAAGTTAGCAGGTCATTCTTTTTGCAACTGTGATACTATGAACACTTCATTTTCCATTTTTTATTGGTATCACACTTGTTAGAACTGGCTGGCATTGTAAGAACATTTGTCATTTGCACTTCCCTATCAAAGTCTTTATTTCAATGGCTGCCTCAGAGAATAGGGAAAAAAATAATCACATTTCTCACATAGAAGCATGGAGTCAAATAATAATTCAGTGTTGTTCTTCAAACCTCTGATCCAACCTGCCCCACTGCTCAAAGCAGGGTCATCTTCAAAGCTAGACCTGGTACTTTTCAAAATGACCTGTTAATCCTTTCCTAAACATCTAGCCTCTGCTTTTTCCTTCAGAGTCCTTCTTCTCAAAGCTTATTGTACTTGAGGTCCTTATAAAGGGACTATCTTCAAATAGTTGATGAGTGGAGAAGGGCAGAAGTGACCTTTCGATCCCTGATGGGTTAAACCCAATGATGACCCTCATCATTGCCACAAGGTAGCTTATCGTGTTTCCCCAAGGACTCTTTCCAGGGACCTCTCCCAGTCTGTCTCTTAATACATATTTCGAATGCCCATGTTTGAGAGGAGACACCAAATTGCTCCAAACAAAGACCAAAAGGCTGGTGTGACTTTTCTGGAGAGAACCTTTGCCGGGCCACTTGCAGCCTTCTTTAAATACTCAGCGTAGTGACTGCAGCATTGGACAAAGGAATGAAGTGCACAGTGAGTAGGAGAGTTGAGGAACAATGAACAAGGCTCCCTCGTTCCCTCTCTGCCCCTCTGAGTGGGAAATCCAAGCCTCCACATGGTGGGCTGAGAACTGCTTTGACTCTACCAGACCTCAAAAGAAGGGATGGTCATTTTCCCCAGCTGGTTCCACTGTCTATCAAGGGAAACACAGAAGCTGCATTGTCATGGGCAGCGCTTCAATCTGACCTCAGGCTCTTTTGCATATCATTGAGGCTAAGAGAAGGTCACTTTTCTTCAAACTCTGTTTTTTTAATCCCTTTCTTGTTTTGTCCATCCATCCTTGTTCAGTATTTCTTGATACTTAATTTTCATTCATTGCTCCTTCCCAGATTATCTGGACCTTTCCTCACTTCTTCATTTTCTTCCTCAATCTAGGAGCCTAAGCTGTTGTGGAACTGGTACCCTGAGGTTGAATTGAGACTCCCTCATCCTGTTAAATGAATGTTCTTCCACAGTTTTAGTACAGAAAAACAATAACACCAAATATCAAACCAGAAAAGAACTGTCTTTACCAGCCTGGTCCATCTCTTGATCTTTGAGCTCCCAGCTCACCAGACTTCACTACTGTAGTTGTCCAGTGAACAGTACTGAGACTGTACCATGGTGTGAAAGCCCTACCCTGGCTGCTCAGTTCTGAATAAAATCTGCATCACACCAAGGTTTGACTCTTGAGCACCTCTTGAACTACTTGTTCTGCTTAGTAAGTTCATGTAGTATTTCAGTTTTCTGTTTGATCCTGCTTCAGATACCCACACGTTATTGCCTCAGCCAGAAATACAGTTTGCCCTAGGAAATTTTTTTTTATATTTTATAGGAAAAAAACACCTTTTGATCTGAAAAGCTAGAAGACAAAAAGGTTTGACTGACAGAAATCAGTAAAAGGAAATATCCAAATGTTACATACGCTCAAAAAAACACATTGATAAGCACATGCCCTGTTTTTTCTGACTGTGCTAATTTTTTTTGCCATTCTTCAAGTGTGCTCTGTAGTTGATTTAAACCAAAGGAAGCTGTTGTCTTGTTGCTTTCTCTTCCTCTTTCATCCCCATCTCTGTTACATCTTAATTCTTTCTTAGCAAGCCATTTCAGCAATCTCAGGGGGAAACAGAGCAGGCAAGTAAGTGATATTTTTTTCAGAAGTCATGACATCACTTACTTGCAATGGAGCAGCAGTGCTGAAAGCAGGGCTCTCTCTCTCTCTCTCAGCGGGAAGTCACTTATCTAATCTGGTCCTACACCCCTACCAGCTCTCTGAGCTGCCTCTCCCCCCTGGCTGTCATCCGAGGAATGCAAGACGTCTGTGATCACGCTGTCTCGCTCAGTCTATCCCCCACGCCCAGCATTGAGGAAGGCATTGGCTGATCTCAGCCCAATTGGAGAAACAGGCAGAAGTTTCAAGATACTGAGCTTCTACAAGAGGTGAATTCTGTTTGTGTTGGGCGCTGGGTAATCTGCAGGGAGGAGAGTGCTCAGTGCCAGCCTGCTTCTCAGCTGCTTCTGTTAAGGCGCAGCTTGTTGGAAAATAGATTTTATGGACTCTTGGAGAAGGTTTTCTCATTCTTCAGCACAGAAATTATTTACATGACCTTGATGCCACCCCCAAGCCCTTGTTCTTCACCTATGTCCCTTACCACTACCAAAAGACAAGAGACTCTGTGGGCGCTGCCTGGTACCAGCTCATAGGAAAGTTGTTGGAGGCACTGCCATGGGTACACCCACCCTAGCCTCTGCTGTCTCCTGTCATTCATTAAAATTAACTTAAGGCCTGACTTTGTTTCCACCTTTGTTTCTTCTCTTCTAATCTTCAGCATAACACCCAAACAATATTTATTAATGTGCTTAGAGGCTCCTGGATTTATTACTGCTCACCCTTGAGTGAAACCAAGGCGTGCAACAGCATTGCCTCCTCCCTGCTGGCTGCTGGGTGAGAGATGTGGGGCTGAGTGAGGGCTGGGGTGATGGGAAGCAAGTGCAAATGCTTTCCTGGATCAGGACTCTTTTCTCTTTGGAAGTAGTTTGTATTATATTCGGGTTATATGGATATTCTTCCACTATAAGTCATTCTGTAGCAATGATAGTCATATATAAGACTGAGTGAAACACTGATCAAAAAGTGAAAATCTGTTTGACCTATTGCCATTAAAACCCTGATGCATTAAGTTTTACTTAGTGTGGGTAAACCCCTGAGCTTTCAGTAGCAGCAGCGTCTAAACATACTACCTCTATTTTATCCTAAAAATAAGGTTTTTAGATTTTGATCCATGTTGTTGCTTTTACTTGCCTGGTGATTTCTAACTTGGAGAACTGCAGTGTATACATCTCCAGTTCTTTTCTCTAGAAATACAAATGCTAGAGAAAATATTTTAGAAATTAAAAGTATAAGTTTGATTAAATGGCTCTAAGGCTAAGCCGAGCTTACAGAAGAATCTTAAAGTGCCACAGGATTTGACCTCATAGGTTTTGGTCTCTCCCAAAATAAATTCTGCTTTTATCTTCTCAGTCTTCACTGGCCAGAGGACAGGAGGCTTTAGGAAACACAGAAGATTGAGGAAGAGGTGGAATTGTACCATAGGTCGTATGCTCTGTCAAAGATTCTCCATCACTAGAGGCAACTGGTAGTACTTCAACACCCTCTTCCCCACCTCTTTGTACTGTCCCAGAGAAAACCAAGCTTTGAATTATCTAAGTGTTTCATATGACTTTAGGGTTTCCCATATGAGCCATAGCATCTCCCAGGTGAGGGTCTTCTTGGGCACTAAGCATACCTATGCACAGGGGGGATATCACATGGCTGTGCATCCTCAGCACACCCAGGTACAAGCAGAAGAGGGACAATCTCAGACCCATCAGAGAGACCATGACACTTTGGGTGGTGACTAGATGAGTGGGACACTTGTCACCCACAGAGCAGGACATGTCAGGAGCAGAGTCATTGGGATGACTATGGAGAACTGACTTACAAGAGGATGTTGAAGTTTGTTTATCCTGCCAAAACAGACGCTGAAAGAGACACATCTGCTTTTCATAAATAAACTGGTTAAAGAAAGGGGTTTGGGACACAGTGCCTGTGGTAGCAAGGGGTTAGACCCTATGGCTCTGGTGATCTTTTCCAGTCCTGTGCCCTGCATTGACCAATGAGAGCACAGGAAGGAGAGAGGAGAGCACAAACCCAGGGGGAAAGAAGAGCAAGTAGCACTTCTTAGAGAGAGTCTTCCACCTTCAGGGTACTATGCCTTCAAATATTTCCTAAAGACATTTCAATATATCCGGAAACATCTTTCTTGGCATCAACTAATTGATGGTGGAGGGGGATGAAAATAGTGAAGGAGGAATGATGAGGGCAAAGAGTTCTTCTGAATTTTATCCCTGTTGTTTGTCCACCCGTCTCCTTCCCACTGTTTCCTGCTGTCATGAGGTGGGTCTGTCTGTCTGACACGCATTCTTCTTGCACAGCTCATTCACTTGTTCCTGCTGCCTGGTTTATTTTCAGGGAATGATTATTCAGTGAACTCCTATGTACATGCTCCTGGAAAA